AGATTGTCCAAAGAACTTGCTAAACTTGCCAACTCCAATCGGCCCTCTTGTCGATCCTCTCCAGTCGGTCCAATCAACCCTCTCTAGTCGGCCCAATCAACCAACTGCGGTCGACCATCTCCAACCAACTGCATAAGACTAGGGGATATAATTATCATTTTATAATAATTCTTCTCTTATAAATAGAGAAGCATTATTTGTAATAGGGGCGGGGAAACCTAATATTAAATTATTTTTAGGTGCACACTTTTCTACGCTAACATTTGGCATGAAAGCTAGGTGCTTTGTAGTTATACAGGGCTATGGCATGTGAAGATGGGAATATGTGGTTCATTGTAAGAATTTTCGGTAGCAGAAGGTGCAGATTGAGTATTATTTATATGAGGAGAAGTTCAAAGGGACAACTATGAGCTAGTGAGACTGATCTTCTGAATACGAAGATGTTGGAAGTTATACTCCTATCACTTACAAAGAATGTTGCCTTCAAATTATTGCATGAGGATGACAACTGTTGTGATTAAAGCTCAGCCAGACATGTATTATAAGTCTTTAGCTGTAAATAAAGTATATATATTGGGGATCTTTTTTAATCTCAAGCTGATTGTTGGGGCTTTTGTAGCAACAAATATTAATGTATTCAAGTTGATTAAATGTCTATTGAGTTTGATTATTATCAATTTTGATGATAAATTTGGTTCAATTAGCTTGTTACGATCCTTACTGGAAAGTAGAGTTGGACTTTTTATAGCTTTCAAAATTTATGCGGGCTAGAAAACTGAAATTCAATAATCTCTATGACCTAATCTTAAGGGATGAGGAAACAAATTAAGCGGAAGTACTTTACTTCTCTAAATCTTGAGAAAAGAGGAAAAACTGAGAAGAGACTACAAAGGAGGTTGATCCGAATCTCTACAGACCGACCAATTAAAAGGGCACAGTGATATGCTAGCAATGTGATAAGGTTAGCCACTTGAAAGTAGACTGTCTATAGAGAAATGCTGGGTAGAGTTAAAATTAGATGGAGGAATCCATGAACACTGCAAGTGAAGAGATGTATGATGCACTGGCACTTAATGTTTATAACCTTATAGAGTTTTGGATTTTTGAATTAAGTATGTATTTCATGCAACTCTTCTGGGGAGGTTGCGAGAATGCTCATCTTACTAATGGTGAACTGTTGAATATTTGAGAGTTGGTGATGCACAAATCATGATTGATAATAAGATTATATGGAAGCTTTGTAATTCAAGATATATTCTTGACGCAAAGATGAACCTAATTTGGTTAGATAGCTTGGTTGAGAATGCTAGCCTTCTATTGTTACTTGAAATGTAACCAATGTTGGCCATTGTTGGCCTTCTATTGGTACTTGAAATGTAACCAATGTAACCAATGTTGGCCTTGTATATTGGTACTTGAAATGTAACCAATGCTAGTCTTCTATAAGGGTGATAGAACATGGTACCATACGTGATGCCAAGCAAAAATGTTGTAGTTGCAACTATTAAATCTGTTGCTGGTGATTATGGAGGTGCAATGTGATATAACATTTTTGTTGATGGAGAGCTTCTAAAGGACAGATGGACTTTGGAAGGCATACGATATTTTGAGAACCAAGTAGGATTGCAAATGAATGGAATCGAGCCAAGTAGGAACTAGTTAACACTAGGCAAGGATGATGATAAAAGATGATATATTTTCCCCAAAGTAATTGAGACATTACAAAGCCTTGTCAGCTGCTATGTATATGATTTAGAGAAGGTGCTAACTCTATATTCTAAATTCAATCATCAATTGAGAGAATGTAGGTGTGGAACATAGTTTCCCTCAATAACTTTGGTCTCGTAGTTTTGGATAAATTTTGATTTTGATTTTTTATTATTGCTGGTTGTTAAATTTAAGATTTTATTCACATATATTACTTCATACTTGCTGCCATATTTTCCTTCATGAAGGGAGAAGAAAAATGGTTGCAGGGCATTTCTCATTCTCTTTTTTTATTTAGCTTAGTGTAGATGTAGAGGTTCAAGTTGTGGCTGGTGGATTGGCTAAAGGTTGATAGTTATTTTAGCTGGTCTCATATACAAGCATTTCTCTAGTGATGATTGATAATGTCTACTGATTGGCCGGAGGTGATTGTCGGTGCTAAAAGCTTTCTTAAGAGAAATTTAAAAGTATCACAGGCTGGTGGTCAATAAGTTGGTTCAATATGTGGGTCTATTGATGTTTCTCTATCTTTTGAAAGTATAATCATTGGCGGAGTCATGTATAGGTTTTGAGAGGAAATCTTTTAGAAAGAATACTTTTTGAGATACAGATGAAAAATTTATTCGAGTGTAAATATTTATTCCTTTTAGTTTATTGAGTAGTGGATGATTATCGCTCTATATAGCCTTGATATAAGTGTATCATATTGAACCACAATATCTCAGATGTATTTTTCCTATACTTGTGACCACAATTGCTCTCATGTTGGTGTTTTTTTTTAGCCAGCAATTCAAAGTATGATCAATATTGTTCTCAAAATGCAAATCTTATACAAACATATTTGCTCTAAAATAAATTTCAAATATAACAAGTTTTTTGTGACATTGGTAGTGAATAACATTTGGTTCTTAGCTTTGTATAAAAATGCGCCAAACTAGATAATTAGGTCAGTGACTTGTATGCAAAATTCTCAGCTCAACGTGCTTACATAAAAATCGCAGTTTTTATTTATAATAATCTTTATATGATCAATCACATTGTACAACAATTATGTTATGGATGCTTGAAAATTGCAATAAACTATTACATGTTCGCAGATTCGGATACAGATTCCATTTGAATTTTGCATTTCTTTGTAGGAATAGTTAAAAAATCAAGCATGATGCCAATTCAATTGTTTTTTGTCTAAGTTTACATCTGAAATTATCCTAATATTCAAACATTTTTCAACTTAAGATTCGTAAATAACGTTAGATTGTTATTTCCATATATCTTAACTGACTGCATTTGGAGGCGATATGGCCATTCCTATGAACATCTCTAGCAAACAGTCTTATTGTTTGTGTGCTAGTGGTTAGACCATCTCCTGTTGTGGTAAGATGATTTTGAGAATTATTAATGTAGACTGAACTTTGGAGGGCAAACATTATTTGACATAATGTTCGACCAAAATTGACGTGCTCTACAGGTGGCAGACTAAATGACATTATTTCAATTGGAAGGATTTTATTTTTGTCACACCGAAATATCGGTTGGTGGAGTTTCTAAATTTGGATGACCATAAAATAATGGGGGATTTGTTATGGTTTGTTTAAGGTTTAATTTGAATTTTGAAAAACAGGGGCCGTCTTAGAGTTTTTTAGAGTTGCTGAAAAATTTTAGTAGAATGTTTGATGGTAGGTTAAATTTTGAATTTGAAGCTATAGATAAATTTTAGGAACAAATTTTGGGGTTTTTTTAATAGATGTTTTAAAGAGGCGAGAGTAGAGAGAGGAAAGAGAAAGAGGGGAGAGAAAAGGCACGGGCAAGAAGCCAGGAAACACAGAGATAAAAGGTTATAAGTGCAAAACTTAACTGAAATTAATGAATTTAAGTGAAAAAAAAAATTCTGCTAAACCACTAGCTCACAAATAAATGAGATAAAAGTCCTCAACATCTATGATGGCCACTTACCAACAATCTTTTGTCATAATCCAAATTTAATTAGCACTGACCAAGCAAAGTCCTTCAGACCATAAAAGTTCTGAAGTAATCTTAATAAACAAAATTATGAAATACATTAAATAATAATTAATGAATATTTTACTTCTTTAAATGACACGGACTACTAATAAAGTCTTCAATTAGCTCATCAACTTTATCATCATGCCAGTAAGAACAATTGGTAGAAGCTAAGCAGTAGTAGATTTTTAGAAATCCTCAGCCGGTCTCAGTATGCAGCATCAATACAAATATGTATGTTGGAATATGCATACCACTCTGTTTGTGTAAGCATTAATTCACACATAAATTTATAGAGGCACATAAATACGAGCATATTTATATATTTGGATAATATTAAGAGAATCATCATGCTGTTTCTCTTCCTCAATCAGCCTCAGTTAGCCGGTAGAAAGTAGGAATTTTCACTCTCTTATCAACAAACAAAAGCAAACTTTGTAGAAGTGATTTCCTTGTACTTGTTTGGTTGTGCTTTTTTTGGTTCTAAAACATTTATGCTGTGGAGCATGATTGTTCACTGTTTCTATTTTTTTGTTTTTTGTAAACTAATTACTGTGATTCTAATAATTTTGAAAACAATGCTTGATGCGGTTACACTTGTTTCCAAAACATCAATTATGAAAACATTAAGCAAATACACATTCAATCACGTTTCTATTGTAAGTAAAGAACATATCGGAGACAAAATAATAATAATAGTAATAATAATAAAACGAACAACCAAACCAAATCAAAACAAAAATGCCCTTAAACATTCAATTTAAAAATGGAAAGTGCACTTTTTCCTACTTATAATAAACCAGAACAACTCATGATACGTGATACTTCATCTGCTCGCATCACTCATGCCATTTGAATAAGATTGTCAGAATTTCGTCCTATCCTGCACAAATAGTGTTCTGATTATGCAGTATCAGTTGGATTAATGCAATAATTTCCTATCTATTATGTAATTAAGGCTATAGAATCTGTGTAATTAAATAGTTTAATTGTAAATATTCATTTTTATAAATATAGCTGTAGTTTCCTTATCAAACCAAATATGATTACTGTAAATGCTAAAATTTTGCTTGTATCATTCCATCTATTTTTATATAAATATGGTAAATGTCTACATGAAGGCAAGGAGTCTGTTAAACTTGCAAACAAATGTTTTAGCCTGAGCTTCATGTACATTTCTGCCTTTTAAGCATGCAAATCTCTATTTATAAGCGCATATCACTTTTGCCTATGTGTCACCTTCTTTTGCCTTTGTACCATGTGATTTCTAAATTGATATTTTGCTTGACTAGGGTCCTTTTGTAAATGGGGAAAAAATTTCGGCTATTGATCTGTCCCTTGGACCTAAGCTATACCATTTGGAGATTGTTCTTGACTATTACAAAAATTGGTCGGTTCCTGAATCACTTATATATATCAAGAATTATATGAAAGTAAGTGGACTAATCCAAAAGTGCCTTGTCTTTGTATCCGAAGTTAGTTGTTCCTGTCATATTTAAATTTATATTTAATTGAGTGAGATCATGATTTGATAATTCTTTACTATAGCTGAATCAATTATTTTTCAATAAGATTCTTGCAAGCCCCAATTTTGTTAGTGTTTTATGATCTAACAATCACTTTTGAAATGCAATGCAATTGGTGTATTATGGCTATTCATCAGTAACTCCTATTGCAAGTTTGACTTTCAAAATACAATTATTTTTTAGCTATTAATAGCACTCATTAGTAGAATAAGGCAATTAATTAAGCATTGTTATTTTTTCTCTCACTATCCTATTACAATTAATTAAGTGTTGTTATTTTTTCTCTCACTAGTCTATTAGTCAATATTTTTATCTTCTTTGGAATTTTTATGCTTCGTTTGTTTTTTTGGTCTTTTTCTACTTGTTAATATCATTGATGTACAACTGAAACTGATGATATGATATCTTGGACGGAAAATCTATCAGTAAGTTAAATAATAGAAGTTGATATTCCTTTTTTTAAGTTATGGCTGGGTGTGATGTGAGCTTTGGAAGGGTCTAGGGTTTTCAATGAGATTTGTTATGATGTAAAAAATCATGCAACATTACATAAAATTTTGTAGATTTCAAACTCCTAATTTTAACAATAATTCTTTATTTTGATGAAAACTAAATATATACTGAAAATCAATGCAACTCATAAGTCACTATATTTCTAAAAGTAGCAAATGCTAAAAATTAAAATTTAAATTATGCAACTGATTTAAAATCTTGCACTCTTTGAAGCCCAAATTGTTTCAAACTTAAATAAAATTAATCATAAATTCAATCCAACAACAAGATTTAGCTTTTCAGCTTTTTTACACGAGTCAAATTTGTGCCTGCTTTTCAAACACTCCCCCGCCCCCCCCCAAAAAAAAAAGAAAGAAAAATACGAAAGCTCACTTCATAATCTTCTATACAGATGATTAGCAAAAGCTATGGAAGCAAACTTTAAATCCTGAAAGCACTTTATTCTTCTTAATGAATTATTAAGTATGCCTGCAGGCTTGCCATACTCAACTGATAGGAATAGTAGGATAGTTGGAGAAATATAATATGAAGTTTCATAAGTGTTTCTTTTTTTTTTAGGGGGCTAGGTTACAAAGCATTGGTTAGTGGTTTGGTTTATTGGTTATGTTTTGAACTTGGGTCTCTTAGTTGGACATAAAGTTCTTTACCAACTGATCCACATGTTTTGAACTTGGGTCTCTATGTTTTGAACCGGTTACATGGACATATTGGTACCCAAGTTCAAAACATAACCAAACCACTAACCCATGATCTTGGAGACTTGAGGTGAATGTTTATCTAAAGGAATATTTTTAAGTCGACTTTAGTTAACATAGGTATTCATGTCTTATTTAGCATACTGATTCTTCATTAAGGGAATTTGAGCAATTTGGAATTATGCATTCGTGCTTTGATCATAATTTAATGGTGTTATTTTTTAACAAATCATTCAGTTAAAAGATTTTGATCACGGACATCTCTTTTACTTTGGTGCCATTTGGAGGTAAAATCACATAGTCAGAGAACACGTACTATGTTTTTATTAGCTTGAGATCTTTAAAATTGATCACACTTTAGTAAAAATGCTTGTTTCTTGTAATCAAAACAACTGTGAATATGTAATGCGTTGTTGCAAAAAAATGATTTCTGGTGGCTATAATATCCTTACCAAAAGACACTTCAAAAATGCAAATTGTCGCACAAAAAGTCGTCAGATATCATTACCGATGGTGGTTTGCAGGCTGTTGGAGAGGCCATCATGAATTACCGACTACCACACATCCAAATTAGCCATTAATATTGCCATAAAAAATGACTAATTTTGTCATCCTTTATCATTGGCAAAGTTGCTGGAAACCTATTACATGAAGAAAAAAAAGGTTCCTATTGTGTTATAGTAATTTTACTGTAACAGTATGATGAAACACAGATTTTAACACATCAAGTTGTAAATAACAATATCACTAAAAAATTAAATCATCTAACATTTTATTTAAACCAATAAAATTATAATGGGGAGCTTACATATACTAGAATTTTTCTTAAGAAAATTAAAATATTATAAGAAGAAAATGATAGGAGTATATCAAGGGAAATTAACAAGAATTGTCAGAGAAAAAAGAAAGACTATATAAGCAAGTAGAATATAAAGTAAAAGCCTGAGGAACTAAATCATTATAAATTTGAAAGTTGCAAAGCAATTCATTTGAATCTCTTGGCTTGAAGTTCGATGAAGACAGAAGCATAAAGATGGATTTTTTAATTTCTTCCTCGCCTGATAAATATAAACTGAAACTTTCTATCACTTAGAGAGTCTACACTATGCGTAGTCTCATCTAAAACATATGACTGAAGGCTATCAAAGTCATGATTGTGATCACAACCGTGATCAGTTGGAGGATCCGTTGTAGGTAGTGAAGTTGGATTAGTGAAAAGTCGTGGGGGCGAGGGGGGTGGTGAAAGAATAGCTACTAATGCATGACAGGAAGGAGTTGGATCAACAAGATTTAAAGGAAATGTTGGCGCCATTTTGATTGTAAATTTCATTTGATTGAAGTGCTTTCAAATTGATTACTAGTGACTTTGATTTTGTTATAATGCCTATTGTGTTTGAAGAATTGACTTTCTTAATTCTTGACAGGCCTTGAAGCATTTAAGGAAATTAGGACAAAAAATTTGCATAATGGGCAATGGCATGGAATGCCTTCAAATTCTAGTTTATGTCAATAAATTGAAGTAGAGGAGCCAATCCACACTTCTTTATCCCAATGAGAAGTAACATCTAACTCAACTACTATATGGATCGCCGAAGGCCTTGAGAAACAACCAGCAGCATTATCTACATGTGAGGGTTTGCCCATTGAGCCTAATGATCATAGTGAGTATTCGCTGAAACAATGTAGCCTAAGGCGAGTGGTTGGTATGTTGACTAGAGTAATTGGTGGTTCCTTTGAAGAGTCAAAATGAGGTGATCATATTAGCATACTCATTAGGAAGCCACTCATATAAAAGGTCCTTTGAGGAAAGAAACTGTTGCAATTAGCTTCTAAGATTTGTTTAGTTATGATATGATGAAAATCAACTAGTCCAATAAATTGGGTGCCAATTAATTTTCATCTGAAAAAAAGCCAAGGTTAATTTTCATGTTTGGACGACAGAGAGAATTTGCCAATAATAGAGAAGCAAGATTGTTTAGTGAGCTCGATAATTTCGTCATTAGAAAATATAATGTTGGTTTAACTTGATAAGCAGGAGGGCGCTTTTGAGATAGTGAGAGTCCATCTTTATTGAAGAAAAATTGAAAATGATTATTAAATGGGGATGAATGAAAACTATGATTTAGTCCACTGACAACATCAACAAAAGAGAGCTTTTTGGGAAGGAGTTATGGGATATGGGGAGATGAAATAATAGTTGTTTCAGCTGCAATCGTTGGGAAGGCAAAAGATGGCGGAATCAAAGGAGCTGGTTGAAGAATCCTTGGTAAATGAAATATATTCGTGTTGGAAAGAGGAACAAAGAAAAATCATTAAACAGAAACTAAGGAAGCGAGCATTGCGACAAATACAAGAGGTTGAACTGAAGTTCACCAAAGGTGGAAAAAATGAAATAGAAGATGATCTAAAAGTCCTGAGGCCGGAAAGGAGGGATCGAGTCATTCCTACATTAGTAGGAATGCCTCCAGAGACTAACTTCATGAGGTGACTATAAGAAGGAGGCACTTAGCAGCAGCAGGCCTGGAAAAGCAATCAAAAGCACATTTGTATAGAGGGAATCACAAGCAGTCGACAGATGTGGTTGAGATAAGCCCTGATGAGGAGTGTGCAGGAGAGATACACATGACCAAAGAATGATCTCTGCTAATACGATCACGCAAATGTTTCCGCGTGAACATCCAACGCATCTGCCTTGCACAATCAGTTTGCACGAACGCCTCTGCGTGATCGTCCTATGCCTTAGTTGCTTAAATCAACTAGTGTTCAAATATATACAAAGGCAACTCTTAATCTTTTTCATCTCCTCCTCTTTCTCTTCTACTATTGGTTGATTCCTTTTTTGACGCCTCATCTCTTGTAGCTTCGTTTGCAGAGCATACTTTGACAGATTTGAATGTCCACTGGAAGACCTTTTCCATGCATATGACTAACTCCAAATTTCCTTATGTTGCCTAAAGTCATCTTGCTAGAAATTAAATATCTGTAATTATTATTGTATTTTTAAATTTTACTGTTTAATCATATTTTTATACTTAAATAAGCCTTTTGTGATGTCATGTCCACCCACCATTGATACCTTTAATTTTGATGCGTTTTTATGTGTAGTTTTGGAGACATGGGATCTCTACCCAATACTTCCATTTTTATATACAATTTTTAACTTAAAATTTTGAGTGAAATTTTGTATGTAAACATAATTCTTTCATTACCATTCTACTTTCTTTACTTGGTATGTGGTATATAAACATTTTTATCAAAAAATTTAGCAATAAATATTTTGATTTTTTTATATATTTATCTGATTTTTTAATCTTACTCTGTTTTAAAATTTTGAAATTTACAATTTTAAGTTAATTCAAGCTAAATATAAGCCAAACATCAGGCATAAACTTGATTAGATCAAAATGAGGTAAACACAAACATGGTATTCACGAATATTTTCTTAGCAAGTACTGAATTCTATCCATCTTAAAATAATATGAGTTGAATAAAATTAGAGTACGAGCTTTTTCAAGCTCTGCTTGTTTACGACTCTACATGATGCGTGCTCGTGTGAGTTTGCTTGTAGAGTTATTAGTATAATTACTTGATGCTTTAATGAACTTATTTGAGATGGAGTTTCCAGTAGTTCAGTATTGGGCATTAGACGAACTTTTAGATAACTTATTTAGTTTTATGTTTTGTATTTTATTTTATTTGTTGAAAAAGAAAAATTAGCTCTAATATTTGCTTTGCATTTTCTTAGAATTATTGAAGGAAATTGACGTTTCAATTTGACGGCACTTGACTTGATCGAAACTTTCTTGAACAAGGATCATTACCTTAATTTTATCTTGACATCTTGATCATTTGAGAGGATCCTTTTGGTCTGGGTTATTTGAACTTATTAAGTCGAATATGTTTGCGACTTAACAACTTTTATCATCAAACTGACAAAACGGGGACTTTTATATTGTGGTTCTTCTTATGATGTGTAAAGTAAACTTATTAGCGACTGTTATTTTGGGCGTGTTAAGTCTAACCTTTTTTACCCATTTAGGTTCTGAGCTTAAGCTATGAGGAACTCGTGCTTGTTCAATTCAATCTTCTTGACCCATTTGAATGCTAGGTTTAAGCTACATAGAACTTATGCTTTTATAACTTGATTTGTTGATAGTTGAAAGCGGTCGTTCTTGCTTCTCAACATTTTAGAGCTAGTGAGCTTGGGAACTATTTGTATGATTGTATGAGTGCATTTTTTAAATGGGGTTTTTTCTTTGACTTTAAGTTGACCCATTAATGAGCTAACAAATCCTTCTGGATTTTGGTTGTTTGGACTCATCAAATTATATAAGCTTAGAACTTGATAATTCTTGTTCGCAGAGTGATAAAATATACGCTCTTTTATCATGGTAGTTTACATGGCGTTTTGAGTAAGAAAATTTGTTAACTCAATCTTATATAAGCATGTTGAGTTTGACATTCTTGACCTATTTGAGTGCTAAACTTGAGCCATCGGGGATTTGTGCATCTCTAGCTTCACTTATCATATCTCGTATGACTGAGCGTCCTCTCACTTGACTTTTGTAATCTTGGCGAGTCGAGAGAAAAACCTCAAAATTTTGTAACTGTAATGTATTGATCTTGTTTGAAAATTGGTCCTCTTCAGCTTATGCGACCAAGTGTGATATAGCGGCCATAATTTTGATTGTTTATCTGAGGATCTTGGCATAAAACATGATGTTGAGTTGTCTCAAATTTATGTAAATAAAATACACTACCTCACTCAAGAAATTTTGGTAATTTTTAAATATAAAAATTTAAAATGAATAATAGATTCTCTTTCGATATTATGTTCAATATTTGCACATTATGTGTTCATTTTGTATCCTTGGATATTACACTGGCATAACTACAAGGGGAAGCTTCTATAATATTTGTGCGGACTACAACAACAACAACAACAACAAAAACAATGACAATAACAACAACAACAACAACATTATTTCTTTATCCCACTAAGTGGGATCGGTGAGATGGATCCTCTCCATTTTGTCCTATTGAATATCATCTTTTCATTTAAATTAAGATCATTTATTATACAAAATGTCTAAGTCATTTTAAGTTTACCTCTTTCTTTCTTAACATAAGTCAAATAAGAAATATCTACTCTCCTAATTGGGTCATCAGATGGTCGACGTTTAATGTGACCAAACCATTCAAGGCAACTCTCTCTAATCCTGTTTGCATTGGAGTTACTTCAACCCTTTCATGGATATATTTGTTTTGTACTTGAGTTTTTTTATCTTAGCAACATTTAACATAATTTTTTTCTGCTCTTTTACATACCAATATTTTGCGCCATAAAGCATTGCAGGTCTTACCACCAACTTTTATATGGCACAATAGGCTTGATGCATTCCTCAACTTCAACTATCCAACTTGAATTCTACTAATAACATATTATCTATATCACCATCCCTTTAAACAATAGACACGAGATATCTAAAACGTTCACTCCTTTTAATGATTGATCATCCATTGGTACAAGTCCATCACTAGATCTACTACTAGTAAAATTACATTCCATTTATTCAGTTTTAGATTTCCTTGAGTGAAAGCCTTTAGACTGTAAAGAACATAAAAAATAAATCTTTAATATTGTATATAGGTACATAGGATCTTTCTCAAATGTAAGGGCGGCTAAAGCCATCCCCATCATTACCCGAATTTAACCGGGAGCTATTAATATCTACTCTGTTAGCATTTGCCACCGTATTTGTAATCATAGTTTTCAAATGTGTGAAACTCATCATAGCATGATTTTGTTTCTGCATGCTTGTTTCGCTATTATTATTTTTTAAATTTAGTTTGGGATAGAATGCAATATGAATTTTAAGATTTACATATATATACATACCACCCAGTTCTTATGTATTTACATATCTAACTCCGAAATTTCAATTTTTACATATATGCCACCTTCTGGACGAAAGGGTGTATTTCATTTTTTGAAATTAAAAAAAATGGGGGTATTTTTTATGTGATGAAAATATTTGGGTATAAAAAGCAAAGTTTAGATATCAGATATGTAAATACTTAGGAATTGGATGTTATTTTATAAATGCCCCAAATTTGAATCAATTCTTCGTCAGATACACTCATCTTAAACCAAATCCAACAACCTTGAAAGCCATGCTAACCCAAAAGTCTTACATGGCAAACACATTTATATCCATCACCCTAAAACTGATCAACAGCGAACTGACTCAATGCTAACCCTGCCATTTCAGAAATGATTCAAGTGTCCTATAATTATAAAACCTCTGTGTAAAATTTTTGTTTCAAATTGTTTTTGTTGCTGCAGTCAGTTTTCTCAAGGGAGTCCTTTGTTAGAACTCAAGCCCTAAGGGAGGATGTGATAGCTGGATGGCGACCAAAAATTGAGGCTTAAAAGTCTTCCTGCTGCTATTTGCCTGTAAAATCAGAACAAGGGACCAGCTCGTAGGCTGCAATTCAAATTTCTCCACGGGCTGTTTGGTAACAGATTTTGTAAATTCTGTAAAACCAACACCAGGATTTAAGGTAAAACTGAGAAGACATTAAATTTGTTAAATCCTGAATTTAAAATTTATCAGTTTTTTTTGCATGACCCCCCTTATTATATTGCCAGATGAACCTTCTAAGTACTTACATCCAGATCTGATTCTTTTTGTAACTTTAAGTAGGTTTCTAGCAATTAAAATGGCAATGCAATTTAACTTTCTGCTGTTTGCAATGAGTAGTCATGAGATATATTTTGAAGGAATTGGGGGGAAATGTAAATATATTTTAGTTCATAATTATATATGAAGTGTTTAATTTTGATGTAATTACTATGCAATTTAAATTGCTTAGAGAATATAAACAATTTTCATTGATAATTCCTTTTCATCTGGCTCAGAATCATTTTACATGACATCCATTCTCTTTTTTGATATTGTGGGAGTGATTTTATAAGAGCCATAATAAATATTTTTTCCTCCCCACAAACAAGTCATACAATTAAATCATCAGTAATATATTGAAACTGAAAAAAAAAGTGCAATTAATATGATCTTGAAAGATACTATTTCACATATCAGCAATGTTTGATCAAATATGATCCGATTTTCACGTTCTGAGCTTCATTTACACAAATCTTGAATCTATTTGAGACAGCTGCAGCTGTTTGAAGTAGTTGTAAAGTTATTCTAGAAAAAAATAACTATTCAAAAAATTATTGTGGCTATTATTATTATTATTTTAAGAAAATCTTCAGCTTTGTAATAGCTACTACACTTAACCAAATCATATTATAAAAAGTACCTTCTTGCTTAGGGGTGTAAAAGAGCCGAACACGAGCGGGTCATGCTCAGTTCGTGTTCGGCTCGTTTATATTTCGAGCTCAAAAAGTGTGTTCGCGTTCGACTCGTTTACTTAACGAGCTGAACACGAGCTGTTCACGAATAAAGAGTCCTTTTAACAACCCTAATCATGTAGTCATAAGACTATAAGGGTTTGAGCAAGATTTAAAAATTATTATTTATATTAAAACATCATTTGAATCTAATTTAATAATTTTTATTATATTTTCTTAATCAATATTTTAATTGATTATGAATCTTTGTAGCCTTGTAGTCAATTAAGTTTTCTAAAAATACTACTTTATATATATATATATATATATATATAAACTCGATGAGTAGTATTTCGAGCCAAAATGAGCCGAACACGAACGAACATATCTTAGTTCGTGTTCATCTGGTTAACTTATTGAACGAAATTAACGAGCCGAACACGAGCTTCTTAACAAGCCGAACACGAGCTGTTCGCGAACAACGAGCCGTTTTGACAGCCCTATTCTTGCCGTAGCTTTTTAAAAAAATAGTTGAATTATAATTTTGTTAAATGTCATAAAATGTGAACTGCTGCTGACTCAAATACACCCTACATCTGAAAAATTAAATTCATTCGTGCTTTTAGAGCCATTATAGTTCAAGCCATATAGAATGAAGGCCAAAACAGACATTATTTTACACCATGCAATAAATTGAACTACTTCTAAAAAAAACCATGAATAAATACATTGATTATCAGTAGTTGTAGAAATATGAGAAAATGTACAAAAAAAAAGGTTCGGTAAAAATAAAATAAAACAAATGAGTGTTTATGGCTTCAAAATCAATAAATAAGTAATATGAATTTATTTTCTTTCCACCTAACCCTCAATAAACAAAAGCACTTGGTTCATATTGTAATACATGAGCTTAGGGTCTCTTTGGGGCAACTGTAGCTTATTGAATAGTCTGCTGATAAGCTGATTAAAAATAATCTGCTGATAAGCTAGGCCTGATGATTATTAGAAATTTTTATTTTCATGAAAAAATCAAACCGTTGTCAGAAAGCTGCCACCGCACCTAGACAAGTGCGATGTGAGCGTTTTCAAAACGCATAAGTTGCCAAAACGCAGTTTACCCAAACAGTTCATGTGTGTTTTCAGAACGCCACCACACCAAATAAGCTGCTCCAAATAGACCCTTAATATGATTATTTTGAATCATGTGGACTTATAATATTTATTGGATTCCTTGATATGAACCCAATGATTCCATCTGAATGCATGCTGCTGTGCATCTAAGTTGAATTTCTCTTCCCTCCCACAAATTTGTACCATCTTTTAATATCTTTTATATTATAATAAAACATGATTATAATATATATGCTTTAAGAGATTTAGATTCGCTAAGATAATATCATTTTCTTTATTTTTATTTATTATTTGAATGATAAACGATAAATTATAAAATTGTGATCATCGCATCACCTTAAATAAGAAATTTAAGGTGATGCGATGATCACAATTTATCATATTTTTTTAAAAATAATAATTAGTTCGGTGAAATCGAGGGAATGAAAAAAAAAAATTCTTTACATATAGAATGATGTTATTTACTTTTAAATGTTTCAAAAGATTAAATTTACGCCTAAAAGTCACTATTACTATCTTCTTGTCCGCCCACATCCATCTTCTAGGGATGGTGTTGTAAGTCGTAAAAGTGTCTTCTAGATGTAGCTGGTCGTGGCAAGTTGACCCCACTATAATCCATTAGTTGGGTGTATTTTTTAGGCATTGGCCCCATTATAATCCATTAGTTGGGTGGACTTTTTTTAGAGGAGCGGGACTCACTTACTATATAACACACTTTCACTGGACTCTAGACCTAAATTTTAAGTCCAGAATTCAGATGTAATAATCTTTTTTTAGCAGCGACTTCTAGATATGTAAATTTAATCTTTTGAAGCCTAAGAGAAAAAAAAAACTTCTTATATCAAAATGCCAAACAAAGCCTACCGCCCAACACCAGCTTGGCATCTACACGCCTTATCTTCTCCTTCCTCTTTTCATCATCCTCTTCATTCCTCACTTCTTCCGTCCCAAAAGCAATACAGGGCATGGCATCCTCCATTTCTCTCCAAACAACTCTCCCTCTATCCTCTGCGCGGTTCCGCTCCAAGCCACGCTCCGCTCCCACTTCTCCAATCCCATTTCCCCTCTCCCCACACTCCTCATCTCCTCTCTCCCTCTCATCTTCTTCCACCATGCCTCCTTCTCCTTTACTCCGCCGTCTCCAACTCTCCGCCGCTGCGGAAGACCTAAAAGCTCCCTCCCCTTCCACCGACTCCGCAATCCAGGAGCAAGCAGAGGTGAAGAAGGAGAAGCTCAAGGTTGTGGTGAAGACGGTGGAAAAACCGAGACTTGTGCTCAAATTCATATGGATGGAGAAGAACATTGGGCTGGCGCTGGACCAGATGATACCCGGCCATGGAAGCGTGCCGTTGAGTCCGTATTACTTCTGGCCAAGGAAGGACGCGTGGGAGGAGCTCAAGACTAAGCTGGAGGAGAAGCCGTGGATTTCGCAGAAACGCATGATCATACTTCTTAACCAGGCTACGGATATCATCAATCTCTGGCAGCAGGCTGGAGGTAACCTATGATCTGATAAGGTGCAATGATTTGACTCTCCGTTGTTTAATGTATGTTTAGTGTACTTTGTTTGGAGAGTTTCATCTTGTATGTATACTGTTCGATAAAATGCTCCAGTCAGGATGCCGCTTTTGTTTTTCTCGTCTTGTTTGAAATTTTGCCTTTTTGTCTTATGTTTTTTGTGTTCGTGATGACTTTAATTTTGAAGTTTTGATCTCGTTTGCCAGAAAAGTACTTCTTTAATTAGAGACTATATTTGTCAAAACTTTCTCCTTTTTTTAATTTTCTCAGGAAAAAATGCTTTTTTAATGCACGTGATTTGTAGAAGTATAAATGATAGGTATGTATGCATATCTTTTTGGGAAAAAAACATGCATAGCACATAATTCTTATCTATTTAGATATCTAACTCCTAAACTTCCATATTTACTTACATAGCACTTTGGTGCTTTAAACCTATGCATCAAAAGGTCTATTTGACTTTTAAAATGTGGTAATAGTGCTATTTTTTATGTGATATTAAAAATTTTAGTGCTGTGTGTGTATATATGAAACATTGGGCGTGAGATATGCAAATACATAAGAATTGTCTGCTATGTTTGTAAATGCCCAAACAAAAACTATTGTTGCCAATCTTTTGTGCCTATAGTGATTACAAAGATGATATCGCAGCAATCCTTGGTTCAAAAATTGTTCTTTTTCTCTCTAGCACATAGCTTGCATATTTATTGTTTAGAATCCTCTTAATATCTGATTGACAGGCAATTTTTTGTGATCTTTTGCCACATACTTCATTTTAGGACAGTGTTGCTTTCCTAAGAATGCTTTCAGCTCTTATGTTTTCATATTAATTAAACCCATTTTGTCCGGATTTTTATGCACAACATGAAACTTCTGATCTGATAGGAATCGTGTTTAAGATTCATAAGAGTATCTTTCACTATATTCGTAACAGTGGGCATAAAATTCAAGCTGAAAGGAAGGCCTTTCAGAATTTGGTTTCCAATTCCTGCT